CTCTATTTTATAGATGTGCTCATTGAGATTCACAGAGGTTAAGTCACTCACCGAAATAACATTAGAAAATAGCACAGGTGACTTCTAAGATTAACTCTGGATACTGAGGCCCAGTTTTAATCCAAAACCCATGGTCTCTAATGCCAGCACTGCTCTTGATTTAGCCACCACTTCTATCTTTGACTACATCATTCAACCTTCTGTTTCTTGACTGGTATCTTTCTGCAGCCAGAACCAGTGGATAGCATGGCAGGGAAGAATGTCCCACCTTGACAGAAGGTAACAAGTACACATAGGAAGCAGGGAGCTCAATGCTTTTCTGCTTCATAGTTTTAGTTTATTTTGACCCTGACTTATTCCATGAAAGTGTTGAGACTGCCAGTCTAAGTATGTTTGTATGTAACAGGCTTAAAGATCTCATTGACAATTAACCTGGTACTATTTTAAAAATAGTAATGTTATTGACTAAGAATTAGAAAAGTTGAGATTTAATTCATGCTCTGCCATGAATCCACTATGTGATCATGGGCAAGTTATGTTCTTTCTCTAGGTCTTGTTTTCCCATCTGTGAATTAAAGAATTGGGCTAGATCAAATGTAATATCCCATCCATTCTTTCACTGTGCAGTTTTAATCCCACAAACATACTTCAGAGGCAGGCAGAGTGTGATCATAGTGTCCATGGCAGCTCACTTGGACACGCAATGAGGTCAAGCATTTTTCTTAAAGAGACTCTCCAAAGATGAAGGGGACAGCAGTTCAGGCTGCATGTATATGGATGTGTAATCTACCTATTTATGAGTAGCTCTGATCAGTAGGCAATCAATTTACTGGCTCCTCAAGATGATTAAAATGAGCTAGATAACCAGATTCCCAAGTTGCATAATACCTCTGAAGGAAATATGCAGCATTCAAATATGAAGAAGCTCCAAAAAGTCAGAGGACACACTTTAACACTTAGAAAGCTCACCTTGCCTTGCCTCTCTTCAAACTTATTTCTAAGAGCATTTAGAAGCATCTTACTTAAAACTCTGATGTGTACTGTTATGGCTAAAATACTCTGTCTTAGATATGTCAAAACAACAAAAGTTGGTAAGCAATTAGCCTATAATCTAATCTGATTGCATGATACTGAGGGATAGAGATGGCTGGTGTTCTTGGGGTGGAAAGCTGAAAGCCAGGGTAGTAACTTAGACTTCTGCTGGCAAGGCACTCACAGTGCATGCACAGAAGCTATGTGGAAATGATGGGGCAGAACACCTCCTAAGGCGCCGTTACAGTCTACTGTCCCTACAATCTATGTATTTAACAGGCCCTAAATATCTTGTGACACAACCGACCAGAACATCTCCGTTGGTGCTGTTCTGGCTGATCAAGTTAACAATGTTTCATTTTAAAGTGCCAAAATAGGGATTTACCCAATATGGTAAATGCACCATGGGTAGAAATGCACAATGGATAGATATGTGTTCATATGAATATATACGTATTATAAAGACACAAGCACTTCTATATCTGTGTAGTAAATGCTTGTCCACATTTATGTACAGATCAAACAAGTTTTATTGTATATCTAATGTTACTACATGTCATACAAACAATCTACAATGGACATTGTGATGAACTACCCAAATTTCTCCTTTAGGACTGAAAGATTTATTCACTCAGCTGCAAATATGTTGGTAGCTCACCCTCAGCTGTTTGGCATTGATCTAGCTGAAGAGACTTCCAAAGGAAGCTCTCATTTAAAAACGGGTTGACACAAGTGTGTAAAAACCCACCCCGTCCACTTGGGGTAATTCTGAATGGCCATGGCAGCCTCCAAGCTTCCTATGGGCTGGGCTGAGGTCTTGGTTGAGACTGCATTGCTTTGATCCTTTCCATTATATAGTTGGCAATCAGAAAGAGAACTCCCCAATGAACCTGCTTGCTAATTTCCACCTCATCATCTGCTTCTCAGATCTATGACACCCCTTTATAAAGAATTGTCCAAATAAGAGGGCAACCAGGGATGCTTAATAAATTATAAAGTTTTCTGACAGCAACACTGTGAAAATTTTTCTAAAACTGCATTACAGATTATGAGGACAAATTCATAAATCTAATTTATAAACCTTTATATTTAGAGAAACACATAATTCCAAAATGGACAATGTTGAAGACAGTTCAATTGAATTTAAAATAATACATTTTATCAATCTTATTTCACTGTATATATTTACCCTCGTTGACTTCAGAAGATCTGACCCTCCAGAAGAAAAAGTAGTGTCCTACGGAAGCTCATAAAATTAAGATGGATTATTTTGATTATAAGAGAACCAAATCCACCATCACAGGAGTCCTTTAATTTACTCTTCTAAATTTATTCTTCTGGCTGTAACTAAATTAGTAAGCGAGAATAGATAACGACTCTAGAAACTAAACAAAGCCTACAAAACCACAAAATGCATGTTCAAATGAGTGACACTATGGGGAGGGAGCTCAGAAAAGTTAAAGAGATCTTGTGAACACTTCCCTGAGTGTTGTGGACTTTTCCAGTGCTCCAAATTCAACCAGTAAAATCAGGGGCTGAGACAACTCCCTTTAACTGGGACACTAAGGCTTTCTGGTTCTGTAGAAATCACCCTGCTGCTTCCCCTCAGGGGCTCAATCATAGTCAGTATGATAAGTTTTATTTTTTTTTTTAAGTTTGGTTTTTCATCATTACTTTCTATCTTGGCCTAATCTCTCATCTCTCTTCCTTGTCTTCTAATGTGAAATAAGGTGTTCTTATTTCAGAACCTCAGATGTCTTCTTCTAAAATGAATTAAGAAAACTCAGTGAGAAATATTTAAATTGACCTGTATTTGAAGTTAATTGTGCATTAACTTTGAACTTCAACTCCAATTGATAGTACAAATTCAACTATCTTGGGTCACAGTGCCAGACACACAGAGATTCACTGCTGAACTCAAGGTATGTCCAGTGCCAATGTCCTGCTAGGTTATGGATCAGGATGGGAAGAAGTGCTGCTATTCCAAAATCAGGATGCTGCTATTCTAAGCCTGCTTAATAGGACCGAGGGGCTTCACTGAAAGGCCGAGTTGTTGCAACAGTACTGAACTCATGTCTCATTTCCCCCCAAAACTAAATAGCATATACACACATTCTATTTTAAATACTCTTTATGTAAATATTCCAAACAAAAATTTCTATATGTATTTCTCAAATATTTCATACATGACATTAGTCAAAGGCAAATTATTTTTCATAATTTAACAATAATATGGCTATTTAAATGAAATAAAATAAATTAGCTTTTTGTGGAATAAAATTTCTGAAATGTATTAATTTAAAATATATTTTACTGTGCCCAATGTTTTTCAACTAGCAGTAATTTTGTCCTCTCTCCCCCAATAGAAGACATCTGGCAATGTCTAAAGTCATTTTTAATTGTCACAAACGGATAAATGCTGCTGACATCTAATAAATAGAGGCCAAATTAGTAGCCCCATGACCAAGAATTACCAGGGCAAAAATGTTAATAACGCCAAGGTTGAGAAACCCTGATTTAATCTAATAAATCTGGAGTTTCTAACTTTGTATATTACCTCATTTGGGAAGTTTAAGTATGTGAGTTGGCCAATATGCCAACACCTCTACTGCTTCCTTCTCCTGACCCTCCCACTATTGTGTGAGGATCTCATATCTGTGACAAAGTAGTATATTTGTCCCACATATTTAAAACCCACCATGATTTAGTTGGAAAGGATACATGGAATAGACTGACAGCTGTCAGGGGGGAGGGGTTGGATGAGAGAGGTGAAGAGATTAACAACAACAAAAAGTAAATAACATATAGATAGGGACAACAGTGTGGTGAGAGCCAGAAGGAAATGGGAGGAGGTGGAGATGGAGGTGGGCAAAGGCAGGGGAAAGTGGGGACAGAAAGAAACTTTGGGGAGGTGGACACACGATGCAGTGTGTAGATGATGTATGGTTTGGTGAACCAATATCACTCCAATAAATTCATTTTTTTTTTAAAGTATGGAAACATAAGATAAAGTTCCTACTCTGTACCAGGGATTGGGCTGGGTATACTCACATAAGCTTATGTCACTGTATCCCAGATTACTACTCTTATACTATAGATGAAGGAATTGAGAGTCAGGTAAGCCAACTTGCCAAATTTCACGTAGTTGGTGACACTCAGTGACCACTATTCCAAGTGAGAATATATATTTTTAAACTCATTAATACTTTCTCATATATGCAAAAAAATTTCTGAATCATTAATGGTTGTTACTACTTGAAGAAAATTTTTGAATCATTAATGGTAGTTAATGGGGTGAGGAGGCTAATTAGCTTTTCACCATATATCTTTCTGTATTACCAGAATTTTCAGTAAGTATATATTACTTCATTTGAAAACTAATAAATAAAAAAAAAACTCAATTAAACAAATCGCTGACATGTTTCTCAAGTTAATTTTAGGATTAACCCTGGACAAAATTGTAAAGTAGGAGATGGTCCATGGTGCATAAACCCTTGTTTTTAACCCAATTTCCCACTCATTTACCCCTATGCCAGAACATTTTTACCTACCCATGTTCCAAGAAAGGATCTTAGGAAGTTATTTACATTAAAATGAAAAATGTTATTATTTCAGGGTGTTCTCACTGAGCACAAAACAGTATCTTAGGTCAGAAGTATTTTATTTAATCTGCTTTGTTTTATTTTTTGCTCTGGCCAATAGGACGCTTAAAGCAAATTCAGTGATGAGTCCTAGTAAGTTATCCCATCATGATCGCATAAGCTTCTTTTTAAATATTATATTCTTATTCTAATAACCTCATATATCCCCTTCATTATAAGATATTTCTAAATCTTTTGGATGGGACAGAAAGACAACAATGGGCAGGTAGGTTGAGTGCCTGGTTGATGCTTGAGAACCTGGAAAGAGCCCGATGAGAAGGAGCCAATGGCGCTAGCGAGCCAGTGAAGGAGGGAAGCCAGCTTTACCTTTTCATTCCTGCAGTTGTTCAGCCCCATATTGTTCATGGAGGGCAGCTTCCCATCAATCCCGTGTGGCTGTTGCTGCTGTTGCTCCCGCTGGATCTGCTCTCGCATCTTCCGAGCCTCCTGAATGGCTTTCATCACTGTATCCTGATCCCCAAACAGGGCAGGGGAGTTAAGACTCGACAGGATATCTGCACACACAGGATGCATTATCAGAGGCTTGTGAGGTGAGAATCTTTACAAAATATTGCTGCTCTCCATTCCCTTGTAGAATGCTGCATTTGCCAAACAAGGAAGGGGCAAGTTTGCTATTAAGAAAAATGGCAATACTATGCATAGAGCACAAAAGGCCAGGGCAATGAAGCTGTGTTGTTTTGTTGGTAGTGGTTTTGGTTTTTGGTTTTGTTTTGCTTTGTTTTTTAGCTCTTGGAGGATGTCCTGGCACTCCCGTTTATCTAGTCTGTCAACCCACCTCATGGTTGAAGGTTTCTGGATTCCAATTGTGTGTATATATTTATCTGCGCTGCTATGTCTAACAATTAGAAGGAGAGTGGTGGGGAAGAAGAGAGTGGGAAGGGGAAACAGAGATGTCTGTTCAGGCTGCTCATTATATTTGGTGTGCTAATTCAGGAAGGCTGTTGCTGGTCTAGCAGAAAGGAGGCTACATGTGTGTGTGTGTGTGTGTGTGTGTGTGTGTGTGTGTGTGTGTGTATGTCCACTGCGGGAGAGAGGGGGCGGGAAGAAGCACATCACACTCTCTGTTCCCAGTCACTGGCTGGTTAATGAAGCATTCTACTCATCATGCTGCCTCAGTTATTTACCAAGAGAATGACAACCCATTCCCTGCCCCCAGCCCGATCACCCACTGCTCTCAGTCTCCTGCCTTCCTGATAGCCAGGCTGTATGAGTGGGGATGATTTTCACATAAAGACAAAGCTTCAAATAAAGTGATAATAAATGTTTACTTTCATTATGTTCCATGCAACACAGTGGGAAATTTTTCAAAATTAAACTGACTAATTTTCCTTCATATCTTGCATTATATTGTAGGTTAAAATTTATACTTTAGATAAGTTTTTCCAGTTCTACAAAAAAGTAAAACAACTGCTTGCTGATTAGATTTCAACCCACTTGTTTGTAACCTGGTATGAGCATTTCATGGCCCATGTCTATCTGTGTTTGTTTGTGTGTGTGTATGTGTGTGTGTGTGTATGTGTGTGTGCACCTGCCTTTGCTTTTAGAAAATATTCTCAAGACTATATATGGAAAAAAAAATTAAATCAGTCACTTTTTAGGATATAGAAACCCATGTCTCATGCTCTGAAGCTTTTCTGATACAAAAAAAAAAAAATATCCTATATTGTCTGGAGCAGAGAACCATTACCTCAGCCCATTTCTTTCAACTCAGGATCTAAGACATATGCTCTGCTGAAGTATAAACTTCATAAAAGCAGGGCCTGTGACAGGGTCACCTCTGTCCCTCACAATGTTCAGTATAGCAAATCAATGCTTTCCCAACAAAACTTGGAAATGGATAATAGTAGGACCATTTCAAGATAAACTCTGTTATTATTTACTGATGCTGGTTCTTTTTTTCCTCATCTCACAGCTCCCAATGATCCAATGACCACATTCACAAACTGGGTTTGCTTTGGTCCTTGCTCCCACAGCAAACCCTCTGATGTGGGCTGAGGATCCCCAACTGTGGGTTCGAAAAAGGAGCACTGATTCCGTGGGAGAGGACCTGGATTCTGGTCTTAGTTCTCCAGATTGCATAACTACATGGCCGTGGGCAAGTCATTTTACCTGTAGGGACCCCATTTACATACAACCAGGGTAATAACACTACCCTACCTAACTCATACGATTATTGTGAAAAAAAAAATCAAATAAGAAAGGCAAAAATGGTAAGCTGTAAATGGCTACATTTAAAGATTATTTAACTTATTGCAATAAGCATTTCAGGCTCCAGGACTCAATTACACAAGGAAGATGATATGGTGTAGAAATGCTTAGGTCAGTGGGTGGCTCTTTGGACCCTTGAGTGTGGCTCTTCCACAAAATACCACATGCGGGCACACACGTACAGGGTGATTGAAACTTCATGGCCCATGCGCAGAGGGCGGTTTTCTGCTCTCAAAAGAAATTTCAATCGTTGTACTGTTGATATTTGGCTCTGTTGACTAATGAGTTTGCCTACCACTGGCTTAAGGTTACTCCCTAATCCCTTTGAATGTCTGTGTCTTTATTTGAAAAATGAGAGATTTAAAGAACATAGTAACAATAAAGTAACAGAGCTACTGACAAGTTTTTCACATGCTTCATTCCACACGTTCTTATAAGGGTGCTGGTATTCACTCTGCCCAGCCTTTTTAAACCTTACACCTTCAAGGTGCCAGACATCACGTTAGGCAATTTATAAGCATTTTTCTCTCTTAATTCTCCTAACAACCTACGAGCCCAGGTAATAATATCCCCCTTTCAAAGATTAGGAAACTAAAGTTTAAAAGATTAAATATCTTTCCCGAGATTATACAGCTAGTAAGTAAAGGCTCTTAGTCCAAGTCTGTCTGACGCCAGAAGCCATGATTTCCCTGCACGCTTCTCACACAGGGCGTAGGCATTCCTAGAGAGATCTGGCCACGTGTCAGCAACTCTAACAAGCCAGAGGATCATTATATCTTATTAGATTCCAGTTTTATTTCATGTATATTCATTTTAATTCAAACGAATAGATTAGATGTGAAATCCACATACATTTTTTTAAAAAAAAAGAAACATAGCATTTCAAAGGAATTTTGGACTTTTGGTGGGCAGCTTTGAGGCCAGGGGCCCTTTAGGTCCTTAGGGGACTCACGGTCACTCCTTCTGCCCAGAGTTCCTTTGGTGGCAAAGCACTGATGGAACACAGAAATTCCTAACAGTCTGATTTGCTGAAATCGAATTCATCATCATCTCAAGAACCCATCCCACAGAATTTATAGGATGGCCTTTTCCAAAAGCTCCAATAGCCCAAAGGGCACCAAAATGGGTTATGTTTCAGTAGGACATATTTTGCTCTTTTGCTTTTTCTTGGACTAAGGAACACTTTGGAAGCAAGAATCAGTCATCACTCAGCAGGTGTGTTTTCTGTTACCTAATTCATAAGTCTCTTCCTGGTGTTGACCTTTCCATTTACCTAGAGAGGATCCCCTCCCCAAGCTCCCTGCAATGGGGCTGGGGATGCCGCTTTTGCTGGGCAGGCTGGCGGGGCTGGTTTTGCTGGCTGGGAAGAGGCTCTGGGTGGGAGAGGTTGGGGACTTGACAGGCTCCGCTGTCTTGGGTCTGGATGAGAGATTCAGCGGCTGTGCTGTTGCTTCATCCTACGGGAGTTTAACATAAATAATTATTAAAAAAAAAAAAAAAAAAAAGACAAATGAAGCACATTATCACTTAGCAAGCCACAGTTATTTTACACCTCAGAGACAATGCCACATTCTCCTACAATCATAACAAAAGAAGCTAATTATCTACCTCCTTGAAGATTCATCAGAAGGAAACCTCATTAATTTCCCTGTGTTATGCTTCTATTTACATTAACTGTGTAGTTGGATCATTCTTTTTGCCAAATTAAAATCTGAATTAGCTCACATTACAGCTTAATTTCCTAATGTGTTTTCAGGGATCTAAATTAACCTAGGGCATTTACAAAGAATTATTTAAAATTTCAGCAGCTCTGCAGTGCTTTTGTGTTAGTCTCTCTAAAAAGTTCCTGGGTACTATAAATAGGCCCTGCAGCTAATTTTTTAATATATATTTTAAATCAAACAATTGCAAGTACTTTAAAAATGGAAACACAGGAGGAGTTCTCTGATCTCCTGGGCTTCTGCCCAGAGCCGCCTGCCACAGCATGGCTTCCATGTGGCTTTCTGGGTGTGGGCACTCTTCATGGTCTGTATTCTGGTCTCTACTCATGTTTAAAATTAATTTTTGCAAAGAGCTAGCACACACTATAATTATGTTTTACATACCATGCTATATACAATTTATTTTTCATGTCTAAAGTGATGCCTCTTTATATCTTTGCTCCATATATTTACAGAATGTCTATTTTAAGACCTCTCCTATACTGAGCACAGGACTCAAATATCTTGCTTGTAACTCTAGTTTAACCAGAAGCTCGGAAGCTAAGCTCCTTGCCATTATTTTGTCTCACTTATCCAGCCATAAAACACCCATAACAACACTTTCATCGTGCTAAAAACTTAGTTGTAAATATGAGCATATTCATATAAATGTTCAGTTTTAAGATCGGCATTATTGTGTCCTAAAATAAAATTGTCAGCAAATGTTAATTCTTGTTTTGCTTCTGAGGAGGCACAGAGACCTTGCTTTTAATGTTATTGTTTAAAACACACAGTAGAGCTTGGAAACAGAACATCCTCTCCCTTGGCAACCCTGTGACCTCTCTGAGGCTCAATTTCTTCATATCTAGAAGAAAAAAAAAGGCCTGGTTTTAGCTGATCTCTAGGTCTCTTCCAGTATTAATGGTCATTGTTTAAGAGGCAACAAAGGGGGATGCTAGAAAATACTACTCAGGAAGGAGAACTCGAAAAAAAATAAAAATCACATTCAACAAAGGAACCATTATGTCCCAAGCACTATGCTAGACATTTTCACACATATTAGCTTATGTCACTTTCAATAAACTATGAGGCTGGGCAGTATTATTCTAACTTCACAAAGGAAGCTGAGTCAGAGTGATGCAAGCACTGTCCAATGCTCTATGTGGAGGGACAAAATCTGAATTCTAGTTTATTGGACTCCAAATCCCAGGTCCCTTTACTATTACACTATCAGAGACAATAAACCATTCGATAATGCAGGATATCCTACAGTATTTTTGCTCTTGTTTTGTTCTGTTTTTGTCATGGTAGGAAATAGATAATCAGACACATCCATATTGCAATGTTTTTTCATTTACATCTAGACATAGGATAGGTTCTTAGGTAACAGTTACATCCTTTATGAATGTCAAAATTATCCAATATGCTTAATTATAATTTACCTCCTTTTGTTCTAAACTCAAAGGATAGTTACACTAGTCAGTTCCTTTATTCATATCTAAGTAATAGTGATTCATATACTAATTTCACTCAGCTTCTTAGCTATCTAAGGTCAGAGTTTTCTTCAAATTTGCAATTACTTCTTTTTAAAAAAATATATTTTATTGATTTTGTATAGAGAGGAAGGAAGAGAGATAGTTAGAAACATCCATCGATGAGAGAGAGTCATTGATCAGCTGCCTCCTGCACACTCCCCACTGGGGATATGTCCGCAACCAAGGTACATGCCCTTGACCGGAATCGAACCCAGGACCCTTCAGTCCCCAAGCTGACGCTCTATCCACTGAGGCAAACCGGTTTCGGCTGCAATTACTTCTTAAATATAGTTTTCTGTTCCTTCATTCTCCTTCCTAGGTTTCAGTTGCATATATCAGGTCATTTGATGTCCTGCAGCATTCTTTTTTCTCTCTGTATTTAATTTTGGATGGTTTCATTGTCATGTAATCAAATTCCCTAATCTTTTCTTCTGTAATGTCTAGTTTGTTGCTAATCTCAATCAGTACTAATCCAGTGAGTATACTTTTCATTTCAAACAGTGCTTTTTTTTTCATCTCTAGACATTCAATTTAGGTCTTCCATGTCTTGCCTTATAACTCTTATGTTTTCCCCTAACTTCTTGAACATACAGAGTTTATAACATCTGGTTTTATTCAGCTTTGAATATACTCCGATTTATTTATCTTTACAATTTAATAATTGGCACTTCCACAAACAATGCCATTGGGTACGGGAAGTACCTATCAGCTCCCAATCATGTACATCTCTTGTCAGACCTGCTACTGGTCCTCACAGCTGGGCCTGGCTGTGGGGAACTGGTCCTCACAGCTGTGGGTGTTTGGGGAAAGCAGATTTGCCTAATTCCTCAGTTGGCTATACTTGTAAGTCTCTTATAATAGCTGTGTTTACTGTTTTACCTGCTAATTCAATGATATGTGTCAGCTGGGAGTCTGGTTCTATTGATTGAGTTTTCTCCTCAATCATTGTTCATATTTTCTTGCCTCTACGAAAGCCTGATAATTATTGAATGGACACTTGTGAACTTTACATTGAATTGTGAACTTTACATTGGGTGTCAGAATTTGTATATCCCTCTAAATATTTGTGAACTTTGTGCTGTGATGCAGGACCATTTAATCCTTTCTGGACACACTTAAAAGTGCTGTTTGGCAGGTCCAGAGATGCTTTTAATCTAGGGATAATTTGGCCCCACTGCTGAGTTAACAACCTTCTGGATTCTACTGGATATGCCATTTGTCAGGAGAACCTTCTACTCTGGCTAATGGGAATTCAAACCATCCTCAGTCCATTGTGAATCTTACAACTGTTTTGTCTGCTAATCTGATCTTCCCTCTTAGTTTCCTCATATGCATTTGCTAACCAATACCCAGCTAAATTTGGGGAACCTTCAGTAGATCTTCAATGCATTCTCTGTGTGCAGCTCTATCCTCACTGGCACTCCACCTCACAAATTCCACCTACCTTAGTATCTCTAAACTATGAACTCTTATCTCTTTACTCAGGGAAGCTGCCAAACTTAATGCGTACCCCTCCCTGCACTATTGCCTGGCAATTCCCTCTAGATAGCAAGCTGAAACAATTATGGTCTTTGCCTCGCTTTTTTTTTTTTTTTTTTTTTTTTAATCGGGGATCACTGTCCTATACTCCTGTTGTAAATGTCTGAAAACCATTGTTTTATATATTTTGTCCTGAGTTTCAGTCGTTTAAGCTGGTACAGTATATCTGGTCCCTGTTCCTTCATCATAGTTGAAAATGTTAATCCTCCAGGTAGTTGGTTAGTATCTCTCGGTATACACCTAGGAATTTCAATCACAATTCCTACTACCTGGAATCTTCACAGGAAAAATATCCAATTCCTACTACCTTAAATCTTCACAGGAAAAATATCCAAAACTCAACAAACAAGCATTGAATGCCACAAACTCACTGAAATCATTTTGTTTTCTAATATTTTCAGACAGAAATGTTGAGATTTCAGCCACCACCACCATCTTCTTTATTTCCATCAGATCATCATTAACAGCCTCATCACCACATTAACATTTTGGAATACTCACGACATGCTAGAGGATGTATTCTCATATTTAAGACCCATAATAATATTAACTTTCATTTTACAGAGAACATTAAGTCTGAAGAAGGTTTAAGTAGCTTGCCCAATGTGACACGACTGGTAAAAATGATTGAACTGACATTTGGACAGATGCATTCTGGCTTCTGATGTTGAGAATTATAGTGAATAAAAATTCTGGGGGGAAGAAGGTAAATAAATCCATTTGTGTCTATTTTTGTTACCTTCAGAGAATTAGCCTTTTGCAATGTAGATATGTTATATACACAGAGAAAGCAATGACACAAACAGAAACATGAGATATTTTCGTGACCATAATTCTTTCATTTAGAAGATTACAAGATTGTTCTCAGAACTTCTTCAATAATAGATAGGAGCTATTTTTAAAATTTAAAACATTTGTTTTATGTTTTGGCTTATACATTTTTACCCATACATACAATAAACAATCTAATACATGTAAGGAATAAGGGATACTTTCTTTGTTATTAACATAAAATACAGTCAGGTCAAATTATATAGAGAACTCCCTAAGAATTTGCATGTGGTCAAGTGAGTAATAAAATTTAGTTGGCCCACGAAGCTGGAATGGTGAAAGCAGATATAAACTTAAATTTAACCAGGGAACATTTTACTCATCCAGTAAAGGCTTGGTTTGGTGCAGTTCCATTTGGCCAATGCACTTATAAAATGACTTTTTCATGTTAAAATAGCTAATTCTCAATACCTCAAGTCACTGATGTTTGATATGCTCATACTCTAACAACTGTAATTAAACAAAGTGCCTTGGTTTGAGTTGTAGTGTTCTGACTCTTATTCACAAATAGAAATGTTGGGATATAAAAAGTCCGTTACCATAGTTATGCTACCTTAATAAATGTAAACAGCATATTTTCACGTTTCAATATTTCTAACAACAAAACATAAATGTCCATCTAGTTCTTTGGAGAATTTAAAAACATGGGTGGCATTAAATTAATTCCTTTAGGTGGGGCACAGCCGGAACTATCTCTCTTAACAATGTTTACTTTTCTTATCTTTGGTATTTAGGACCCATTTTTATAAAGTCCTTTCTGAAATCTTAACATTTCTGTCTGAAAATATTAGAAAATAAAATGATTTCAGTGAGTATGTGGCATTCAATGCTTGTTTGTTGAGTTTTGGATATTTTTCCTGTGAAGATTTAATAATTGTACATTTCCTCCCAATGAAGTACTTTGGGTACATTACAGTCATACATCTGTGCTTAGCATACCCCTCTAAATAGATAAGTCAATTATATAAAACAATTGTTTTTTTCTGAATTGTTTGAATTTGTTAATTCTACTTAGGAAGGAAAAGCAATCATAAAAACCAACCGGTACCACCTATAGGTACTAGCTACCGCACAAAGTTGGAATGGATCATCAATTTCCCTTAGTCACCAAGTACCACCTGGCTACCCCATTCTTAGGCACTGAAAGTCAATGAGAAAAGGCATCTATTAATGTCCTAGCCATACCTTGGGAGAGCCTGTTCATCTTATCACAACCTACTATATGGCATCAGACATGATTATGCAATGCTACCCCTCATTCTTCAGAGCCCACCTTCCTGTTTTTGAAGGGGAGACCTTTTTCAGAAAACCACAGAAAGCCCAGCAGTAAGCTCTTTTTTTGTTCCCCTTTTTAAATCTAAAGTTTGGAGATCCTCCTTCTCTAGTAGTATAAGTTGGCTCCCCACCTGTTTAAGAAACTTGGAGGGAAATGTCACAAGTCTGTGACAAACACTGGCAATAAAACCATGGCCATTCATGCCAGTGAACATTAAAAAATAAAAGCCAGAGTCCAAAGGGAAAAACTCTTGAGAAGTGAGTGTGCAGATTTAGGTAAAGATCTCACAATATGGCACTATTGTTATCAAACGGGAAACACCTGTTTCTCAGTGCTCAATCATGAAATTTACCATAAAGAGGAGCTGTTTATTCCCAGCACAGCCTGGTTCACTACCTTTTTTTGTGAAGCTATTTTCCAAACTGTTTCCACAATCCTGCAAAGCAAGTACCTTAACTTGAGTTACAGGGCTGGTCCCTCTCTTTTCATTTTTTATCCCAGTAGGTGACACTGCCCCTGCTGTGTTTGGTGGCTGTGGAGTTGATGGCATCTTTGCTCCAGGTGACACCTGCATGCTGGCCAGCTGAGCGGCATAGAGCTGCTGCAAAACAGGAAAGACAAACATTATCTCTTTAAATGAAGTTGAAATGGAGTTTCAGGAAAACTTACCGTCTTGTTAGATTCATATTTCTCTAACAGCTTTGCAATTTCTCTTTCACTATTTTTTAAAGAGGAAAATAAGAGAGATCAAATAATATAACAGAAAAAATAAAGTACTGGTATAGGAGTCATTGTCCTGTCCCTGGTCCTTCCAGCAATAACTTTATAACCCTAAACAAAGGACTCGATCACTCTAGAACTCATTCTCTTCAATTGCACAAAAAAGGAATTTGACCAAATGGTCTCGAGGATTCTTCCTAGTGTCTAAAATCTTTATAAAAAATGCTTTAAAAGTTGGTGTGTCCATTCTTGTAATTTTAACATTTGTTAAAATGTTAAAAAGCTGATCTGAGCTTTCCTAGGGATTTCCTACAAGAACTTTGTTCTCATTCAGTACTGACCACGCTTCTCTGGGACCACTGTTCTGTCTGAAGGATGAAAGTGCTGCCATCAAGATCCCTCAGGTAATAGACATCTCTCTTATCCCAGGGTCCTATTTCTAGGTAGTGTATAACATGGTCCAAAGGAAAATATAGCCAGATTTGGGGGGGGGGGAATAATAATAATAGTAAGAAAATCAAGCTTCTTTCTTGTAGTACAGGACATTAAATGCTTAACTGCCAGTTTATTAGATTTTGGATGACATTGGTGACACTTGAACCTGTAGATCCGCTAGTTGACCAGAATTCAGATAACTCAATCTTAACACTATTTAATGCCTGAAAATGCCATTCAAGTATTTTCTTTTCTTCTTATCAAGAGTAAGCTGTTGCCTTAATAGGCATATTGTATCATAATAAGTAGAAAACTTCCTAGTTTCAGCAACCACAAAGAAAATAGCTCAAACTTTGCCACATTAGTAGGGGAGAAAAAACAGGTGGTTTGTATGTAATTTCCAGTATTACTATCATTCAGATGGACAAATAAAAAAAATTACAGTAATCAAAAACAGACCTTTCAGCACATGTAATTAAATGAAAGCTTAATAAAGAATAATTTTTCAGAGCCAGATGTGCTTATGTCATGATTGTTGCTTTCTTTGGAACAATTTTTCTAATATAACAAGCCTCTAAAGAAATTAGAGCTTCATAATTCTGTGTGTGCAATGACTCAGTGGCAAGAAAAATCACAAGAAAGAGTCAGTCAAACTGCTAAAACTTAGAGGAGTAAGGGAACTGTCTTTTATTTTATTTTATTTTATTTTATTTTTTTTGCTTTTTTTTGTTCCCTTTTCATCTTGCTGTATATTTTTCCTTTGAAATTCAACCAGGTGTCTTCAAATGGGGGGGGGGGGGGGGCAGGTGGTGGCTCAAGTGAATCTTTTGGAAAATTTTCTGCTTGGCATAAGCCAGTGTAGAAAAGTTCTGTACTAAAATGGAGATGGTGGAGAACTGAAAAAGTGTTGACTGTATAGTAGCTGGTATCATGATCAATATGCCTGACTATTGAGTACTAAAGAGTCATGAAATCTTAGGGAGACAAGAAAGAGTCCATAGACATCGCTTATGCCTTCATTTTACCTCAGCAATTCACAAGACCAGAAGAAAGTCAAATATCACACTTTTTAGATTAAAGAATCTGGCTTGACTTCCATCAAAAGAATCCTGTTTGTCAAGTAGATATAGGTTTAGAAAACAGTTTCACAGCTCATCTGCTAAGCTAACTTCAATTGTATATGTTTTAAATGCAAGGCTCTGTGTTAGGCACCAAGTAAGATTCAAAGTTTTGGAACAAGCATAGAGTTGTGTAGGAGACTTAAGCTATGGATCCTTAATACCTGGCTTGCACCTTCCTTGTGATGCTTACCACAATTTTTAACCTTTAGTTATGCACATGTCTTATCATCTTCAGTACACTGTAAGCTTATTGAAGCCCCGATCAATCTAATTATGTTTGAACTAGAGGACTGATGCACGAAATTCGTGCAAAGGGCTTAGCCCTTGCAGACACGGTGGCTTGCCTTTGCCCTCACAGCCCTGGCTTCATCAGGAAGGTAGTATGGAAGGACATCCAGAAGCACGTCTGGAAGGTCGTTTGGCTGTCTGGTCTAATTAGTATATTACACTTTTATTATTATAGATGTCAAGCATCAAGAACAATGCCTTGCAAATAAATGATAACCAATCAATATTTTCTGAATTAACTAACAGTATGTAAAACCACTGAATATTTGGAAGGTGAAATATTCTCTTTCTATAAATGAGGCAACAGAAGTGGTATATGATTATATTTACTATATATGTATTGAATAGTTTTATGATGTTGAGTTTAAAAAACGGAAAATAGCCGAAACTGGTTTGGCTCAGTGGTAGAGCGTCGGTCTGCGGACTGAAAGGTCCTGGGTTCGATTCCGGTCAAGGGCATGTACATTGGCTGCGGGCACATCCCCGGTAGGAAGGGAGAGAGACAGAGAGCCAGAAACGTCGATGAGAGAGAAACATCGACCAGCCGCCTCCTGCATCCCCGGAGGCGGCTGGTCGATGTTTCTCTCTCATCGACGTTTCTGGCTCTCTGTCTCTCTCCCTTCCTCTCTGTAAAAAATCAATAAAATATTTTTTTTTAAAAGTTTAAAAAAACGGAAAATAAATTCAGTGCAAATTAAATTATATGGTTTCACGATAAATTATTCATTTGAAGTTGTTTGTTATAATGTCATATAGATAGCTGCTCAATAATTGTCAAACTTTTCTAACACCATTATACTGCTTGAGCAGTAATTATGGAGCAGTACCAAGTTTTCGTCTCATCCCAGTTACTATAAATTTAAAAGTTTCTCTAAATGCTACTGTATCTTTTTTTGAAAGAAGATATTAGTTATTCAAATAAATAATTTTAGCTAGAGCACTGCTTTACAGATCAACTGTTCACATAGGGAAAAGGTTAAACTCTGATTAACTATCACATAAGAGTTTATAACTTGTAGGATTCTTAGATTCTAGTTATTGCTCATAATGATAATAATGAATATTCATTTCCAAATACAGTTGGAAAATCAACAATATAGTAAAGCTTCTAACAGGCTTAACCAAAGTTCCATAAACATTGGTGAAGAGTGTTTCTGGAAATATGCATTGTTCCATTTCAATTTTGAGAAATGCTCAGTGATTGTTTGGGATACTAAATTGTTTCTTTTTCCAGATATATAAAATAAATGCAGTGCACTTATTGAAGTTAAAATAAGTCTAGCTAAATATTTTTTAAAATTATAAAAATCACTCACATTTTATAGGAGCACTTTCACAAATGCTTTTACTATTTTACAGCTAAAAATATTCCACCTATTTTATGAGTTCATTTTTTAATAAAGTAGTCAGCATTAAAATTTTGGTAAGCTGAGCATTGACATATTTGGCATCTAACACTGAAAAGACTTTAACATATCATTTAGCCGAGTCTGACCTCCCCATTCTACTGATGAGCTGAGGTCTAGAGAGCAGAAGCAGCATGCCCGAGGTTGTGTAAGTGCTTAGGACTCACTCGCTCCAATGTTGTTATTAAAAGTACAAATGGATATATGATGAAGCAACCTTTGTACCTTTCAAGCACGTTTGCAGCATTGATGAATGTGTTCAATGACGGATCTTTATTCCATGCTCACTGTTAACTAAACACTGTGCTACAAACTAGAGATACCACAATGAGCAATTCAGAAAATAATCCCTACCTTGATGAAGCTAGAAAGAGAAACGTATTAAATAAATGCTTAGACAGTAACTGTAAATTATGGTTAAGATAAGTGCTGAGAAAGGAAAATACAGAATGTCAAGAGACCATCTAATAAGGGTATTTAGCAGAGTCTGGAGGATCAGAATAGCTTCTCTGAGGAAGTAACATTTGAAGTAAGAATTATCCAGGTGGAAAGGTTGATAATAAACATTTTAGAAAGGAGAAACATCAATTATTATGGCTCTAAGGTAGAAAAGAAGGCAACATTTTCAGGGAACTTTAAAAAGGCCAATGTAGCAAGATTGTTGCGTGACTGCAGAGTGGGATGAGAAGAGGCTAGAGAGGAGTAGGGCCTGAGAGGCCGCATTAATAATTTCAGACCTGATTCCCCAAACTGAAGTAGCTACAAAGAGGAATGAACTGAAACCAAGACACAACAAAGTTTTTCTATGATTTACCACTAACTTATTGACCAATCTTTTAATTGAATTTGATGAAGATCTCACAAATCCACAAATATATACTTCCAATAGTAATTGTAGAGTTTTTGTCCTGAGACTAGCCTTAAAGGACAACCTATCTTGCATTTGGATCCTAGTGGCACTCAAATAACTAAGCCTGCTTAGATTCAACACAAAACAGTGGGCCTTACCAACCAAACTCAGCCATATGGTAAAATTCTTGAGTGTCTTTGAGCATACACAATGGTCTATGGCCCAGACAAACATAAAGAGCACTAACTCAGGTACTGTGCTAGGCATTTTCCATTTATTATGTAAACTTCAAATGAATTATATAAAATAGGATTACCCATTTTGGAGTCAGTGTCACTTTTAAGCCCATGTATTTTCTGCTTTTGTAGGTTAAAATTAAATTATTTTAAATAAGCTATACAGTGGATCACAATGAAACCCATTTCCTGTCCCTAGCCACAAGACAAAGATCATTGTCCAAGGAGAAGAGAGACTCTGAATTTGCTGCTGTCCTGAGCTCTCAAATAGCAAACTATAATTCCAAATGTCTTACAGCTACTTCTAAAATGGCATTGCACAATCTTCAAATGGAGACCACCAGCACCTGGAAGGAGCAAGAGGCATAATTTTGAACCAAACAACTCCCTTCTCCAACCAATCTCTAAGCCATAGCATAAGACACCTGAAATACCCTAGTGACACATGTTTTAATAGACTGATAAAGTAAAAAGCACTATGCAGAGTAAGGATAGAAATAAGAGAACTTGATAAAAGGGACAATAACAAGGGCTTTAAACTGGCA